TGTGTTGTGTTGTCTTCATGTCTTCCTACAGGGTTGTTGTTGTTTATTCTGAGATGTGTGTTTCCCGGCATGTTGTGACTCTTTGTTTGTTTGTCCTCAGTCATAAACAAGCAGCAGGAAGCGCGGTTACGTCGCCGTTGTTGTGGGCTGTCATGGCAACCTGCGGCTGTATTTTACCTTAAGTGTTAAGAACAGTTATGATAAGGCGGCGCTAAATATTTAAACTGCTCGCTTAATGCAATTTAACTTTAGCCATCAATCTGGGCGGCGCTGTGAGGAGCTGCCGTCCGTTAATGGAACCGTCTCCCCTCGGATCAGATTTATGGCTCATAAAGACGAGCTGACGCTGCAGCTGCACTCGTCCAGACGAGTCCTGGAGCCGCCGCCGGCCGCCGCAGAACCCGCAGGACCTGCTGCAGCCCGCAGAACCCGCTGCAGCCCGCAGAACCCGCTGCAGCCCGCAGAGCGCCGCTGCTCCGGTGCATCACACGACCCGATCCACCACCGTTACCGTCGTTTTCTAGCAGAGTCCAAACCTGCTTCTGTCTTTAAACACTTTGATGAGAACTTTGTTGAACGCTGCCCAGAACCTCCGGCTGTGGACCTCCATCATCACATCCAGCAAAGTTCAGACCAAAGCTCAGAAAGTTCAGCAGAAAATTCTGCTTCTCAGAATTTATTACAAAGTTTATTCACAAAGTTTAACCAACTCTGACACCGTCGGCAAAGTCCAAACTACAACAGAAACAGTTCTGATCGTTTATGGGATTGTTTTCAGCTACAACATCCAAAAGGAACCAATTACAGCTCGTTAGGGCTGGTCGGTTGATTTGTTTGTTGTTTTGTTTGTCGGTTGATTTGTTTATTGTTTTGTTGGTTGGTTGTTTGGTTTGTTTGTTTGTTTGTTTTTGTTTGTTGTTTTGTTTGGTTGGTTGTTTTGTTTGTTGTTTTGTTGTTTCTTTGTTGCTTGGTTTGTTTGTTTGTTGTTTGGTTTGTTGTTTTGTTGTTTCTTTGTTGTTTGGTTTGTTTGTTTGTTTGTTGTTTTGTTTGTTGTTTTCTTTGTTGTTTGGTTTGTTTGTTGTTTGGTTTGTTTGTTTGGTCAACGTCATCAGTTTTTAAAAGCCTTTAATAAAGGTGAACACGTCTGTGGTGGATCAGAGTTTCTTGGTCAGACGGCTTCATGCTCTGCTGGTGTCCAGACCAACAGATGAACATCCACCAGCCGCTGAAGTCTGACTTTGCTTTTAGCAACATTTTCACAATAAATAACTTTTTGTCATTATTTTGCCGTCAGAGCGTTCAGGATCGTTGTGTGTGTTGGCATGTGTGTGATTCCTATTTATTTAGAGGCAGATTGATTGTTAATGACTCTTTTACAGTCTTTAGTCTTATTTTGACACGAGCGTTGCTGCTTCGGCACCTTTTGATTCTGTTGCTACAGTGACGGTAAAGTTTCTGTTCTATCGTCACTCTGATGGATTCTGGATGGAGTCATGAACTCTGGTGGTGCCGGAAGATGTTTTATCAAGAACCAAAACGAAACTGGCATCAGAACACGTCTGCTAGCGGTGGCACAGACCTTTGAGTGGTTTTTCTCTTTCCACTGAAGCGCTGGACCAGACGGGACAGACTTCTGTCATCACTTTATAAAATTGCTGAAACTGGACCTGGATCTGACCGAAGCACCTGAAACTCATCAGGTTCGCGCCTTAAATCACGGAGATATCTTCTGACACGTCTCCACCGCTGCTCCTGACTCTGACTGATTTCTGACTGTCGCTGACAGACGAGGAAACGGTGGCTTTAAGTGGTTAATTAGCGTCCAGAAATCCACAAGTCTGATTCGTACCAAAGAAACGTAACTCGCACACGCCGATGTTTGAGTGTGTGGTCGTCGGAGCTCGTTAGCGAGCGCTAACGAAGCGCTCTCCGTCTGCACTCTGACACGGATTAAACCGAAGGAGAGCAGGAGTGTGTCTGTCTGTGTGTGTGTGTGTGTGTGTGTTGGGGGTTCGTGTCGCTGTAATTAGGCTAATTAAATTAGCGCTCTGATGGACGAGGGAGTGCGACGCTGTCACCCTTCCTCCCCCCTCCATCCCTCACTCAGAGGTCACTCCCCCCCCGACTGGACCAGGCTTCACTTCCCATTACAGCGAATCACACGTTAAACACACACAGACACACACACACANTATTAAGTCGTTTTGAGTCATTTGTAAACATTTTTTAGTGCTTTCGGTAAAAAAACAAAATGGTGAAAATAAAAAAGTAGTAAGGAATATTATGGACAAATATTCAGTCATTTTGGACACATTTTAAGTCATTGCAGGCTTACTTTGAGTCGTTTTTAACGAGTACTAAGTCACCAGATTTTGAGTCATGTTTAACCAGTTTCAAGTCGTTTGGGACAAATCCTGAGCTACTTTAGGCGATTCACCTGAGTCACTTCAGATTCATATTAATTTAAAAATAACGATTTTAAATCATTTTAGATCATTATTGAGTCGTTTTGGGTTAATTTTGAGTCATTTGGACGAGTCCTAAGTCACCAGATTTTGAGTAATTTGAAAAAAATTCGGTAATGATTTTGGTTGAAAAAAAAAGAAGGTAAAAATAAAGTTTTGAGGAATATTTTGGACAAAGATTAAATCCTTTTAGGTTAAATTTGAGTCGTTTCGGACCAGTACTAAGTCACCAGCTTTTGAGCCACTTTGAACAAAATTTAGGTCGTTTCAGGTTAAAAACAAACAAAAAAAAAGCTAAAAATAAAATATTGCAGATTTTTTTTTTTTTGACAAATATTAACTCATAACTCTGAGACATTCACGAGAAACTGGAGCAACTTTAGAACGATATTAAGTCATTTTGGACAAATATTAAGAAATAATTTCAGATAAAAATGAAGTCACCAGATGCTGAGTCATTTAGGTCCAGTATTAAGTCATTCAGGTCCAGTATTAAGTCATTTAGGTCCAGTATTAAGTCATTTAGGTCCAATATTAAGTCATTCAGGTCCAGTATTAATTAATATTCATATTTGATCAGATAAACGACCAGTGACTCCAGTTTGTCCACAATAACAGTTTCCAGCTGAAGCGTCAGATTCCACCAATCATCGGCCATCATGAGCCGAACCGGTCCGAGCTGGTTCACCGTCCCTCTGCTCAGAGACCAGGTCGGGTTCCAGAACCATTGGAGGTGAAGCCGGCGCCGCTGACCCGCTGTCGGTCTCAGGTGGACCCACGGTAAATAAAGACGTTCGGTCCCGGCGGCTCGACCAAATTAATTTGTCACGTTGTTGGTTTTCAAAGCGCCGGCCGGCCCGGTCGGCAGCCACTCGCTGCTCTCTCCGGTAATTAGCAGCTAATTAGCGGCGCGGAGCAGATGTCGGCGCCGCCGTAAACAAAGATGGACGACAGGAAGCCGCAGCTCGGCGGGTCGGCACCGCAGCAGGACGCTTCCCCGACTCCCCAGAGACCACATCCAAACATCTGGTTCTGACCCGAGGCTGCTGCCAAACAGAACTCACAGCNCATCGTTCTGCTGGATGATTAGAAAACTGATTAATTTGGGATAATGACGAGAAAAATGCAAGGAGACAGTGTCAGACACACACACACACACACACACACACACACACACGCGGGCGCACACTATCGCATTCAGAAACACACAATTGCACAATAACAGTCAGAAACACACACAGTGGAATAATTAAGAGGATAATAAGGCAGCGTTTAGGGTGGAGAGATTCCTCCTGGGCCCCGCCACACACACACACACACACACACACAGTGACACACACACAGTGACACACACACACACACACACACTCCTGGCCTTCTCTCAGTGTGTCTGAGGCTCCTCTGCTCGCTGAGCGGCTGCTTGTGCGTCTCCGTTCCTGCGCTGCCCCCTGCAGGACCAACGCAGCAACACAACCAACACACAAACACACACACAACCGCCTCGCTAACGCCGGCAGCTAACCTCCGCCGCAGAAAATAGTCCCTCACAGCGCACACAGTCGAGGTTTCAGGTCGCACAACTCACCGCTGGACACACTCGCTGGTGTTTTGTGTTAAAACGCCCAAAACGTCCGGTTCAGATGTTCAGTTGCTGTTTGTCTGTTTGGTGTCGCATTCTGCTCAATAAATACCAACCTGTGGTCGCTTCATGTCATGTTTTGGTCATTTTATACCAGTTTGTGGTGGTTCTAGCTCATATGTTGTTCATCCTGTGTGACGTTTTGGTCATTTTGCTTCGTGTTGCGTCTCATTTTGTTGGCTAAACGCGGTGCACAACACTAGGAGCTGTCGAGGACGCTGAAGGTCACGAATCGCAGCAACCTGCGATTAAAAGCGTCGAGTGGAACCTGAGCAGGAGGCAAACAGAGGCTGAGGAGGAAAGTTTTGTGCGAATCGTAAACCCTGCGGCTCATTTTTTACACTCTGAGAGCACATTAATAAGAGGAAGGCGGCGGAGACGTTAATGAAGCGGCGGCGGTCGGCAGGCGCGGGGTTAACGGCTGTAATTAGAGGGAAATGGATGACACCGAGTCGGCGGTTAATTAGCTGAGCTGCAGCCACTGCGACGGCCTCTGGCTTCACCTGAGCTTCACGGTCGGCGGGTCGGAGCTCAAACTCCGGCGTCGGCGCCGATCGGCCACTCAGGGGGGAAATTAAAGGGAAACCAGGAAACGAGACCAAAGAGGACGAGACTCAGAACCTCCAGGAGAAAACCCAACACAGCACGGAAACAGAACCACAGAGAACCAACGAGTGGACGGAGGCTGTAGAGCAGGTCCTCTGAGTCTCACCTGGTCACAGCTTGATGTCTCAGACTGGACATGATGTGTCTCATGCTGCTGACGAGCTTCTGTTTTGTACATTAGTTTTGTCTTTTGTTTGGTCTTAAACTGTGAATGTACTCTCAGACTGCATGTCCCACAGTGTCGGCTGTGGGTCGTCTCATGGAGGTTTTGTGTCTCATACTGTAGATTTGTGTCTTTTATTGCACATTTTTTATCCGTCCACAGTGTTGTTGTGTCTCTGCGGCAGCTTTCTGTCTCATGTTGCAGACTTAGTGTGTTTCTATAGCAGCTGTCTGTCCCACTTGTTTCCTATATTGTAGGTTTTTGTCTTTTGATGGATGTTTTATGTCTTAAACTGTCGACTTTCTGTCTGATAATGCAGGTTTTGTACCTGCTAACACTAGTTGTGTGTGTGCTGCTGCAGACTTTAACCCGTTGAGCCGCTCTGGTGTCTCGGTGGTAGTTTTCTATCACATCCTGTCGACTGTGTGTCCGATAATCTGCAGCTTTTTGTGTCTGACTGCAGACTTCTAGCTGCTCCTGTGTGTGTGTGTGTGTGTGTGTGTGTGTGTGTGTGTGTGTGTGTTTTGCGTAGCCTCGGTGTGGGTCAGCCGGGACCTTGGCGTCTCCGGACACCGTCCTCCTCCTCCTCCTCCTCCTCGCCCTTCCTCCCGCCGTAATGTCCGGCTCTTTTATTAATCCCGTCGGGGAGTCCGAGATAAAACTTAACTGCGCCGCGGCCCGAGCTAAATGGCCGAGCGGCTCCATTTAATGCCTAATTGAGGCGTGATTAGCGGCGGCAGCGAGGAAAGTCACCTTCCCAGAGGACCGGCTCTTACCGTCCTGGAAGACCCGCTCCACGTTCAGCCCGTAGGTGGCGCAGGTCTCGTAGTAGGTGCAGCGCTTCAGGTCGCTGGACAGCTTCCGGGCCCGGCCGTCGTCGATGACCCGCGGGTTGGCCGAGCTGATGGCGTCTGGAAACACAAACACGGTGCGGTTACACAACGCGACACAACGCCCACGCTGGCCGTGTGATTGGACAGGACGCTCTGCTGTCATTGTGTGTCTTGTTGGGTTTTGTTGCACCATTCTGGTCGTTGTTGTGGTGATTTCTTGTCATTTTGTGTCTCAACTTGATCATTTCATGACTGTGTGACTATTTTTTGTCATATTTTGGTCATTTTTGTTCCACTTTGCTGCTTTTGCATCTTTTTGTTGTCATTCTGTCTCTTAAGTTGGTTTTTTTTTTTGCACCATTTTGGTTATTTTGTGGCACAATTTGATTTTTTTGCATCTCTTTGCTGCAATTTTGTCTCTCTGAGGTGATTTTTGAATCTTTTTTTGTCTCATTTTGTTTGTTGTGTCTCAGCTTGGTGTGTTCATGACTGTGTGACTATTTTGTGTCGTATTTTGGTCATTTTGTGCGTCTTTGTGGTCGTGTTTCGTCTCTTTCTTGTTGAGTGTTGCTCCATGTTGCTGTCTTGTCGTGTTTTGTGTGTCTGTTGTGCGTCGGCGTGTCTCTACAGAAGCGCTCAGACGATGTTTTTACAGATTAAAGCTTCCTGAAGGCTTCGGTGATGCTCTGGCGCCACCTACTGGCTCCTTCCTGCTCCTGCATATTGGACGTTTATCTTCACATCAAGCGGCTGAAACCAGAAAACGCTCGTCTCTGTGGTCGTCTTGTGTCTGATTTGTTGGTTTTGGTCATGTTGTGTCTCTGTTCTCACTCTGCCTCATACTTCTGATTTTACGTCTCCTGCTTGCTGCTTTTGGACCTTGTTGCGTCTAACATTTCAGATTTTGTGTCTCTTTGTGGTCATTTTGCATCTTGTTCTTGTTTATTTTTGTCTCATTTTCTGTCCCAGTTCCTCGTCTTGCGTCTCTCAGCTGTTGTTTTGTCTCTGACGTCGTCTTTTTTTGTCATTTTGCATCTTGTTCTTGCTGTTTTTTGTCTCATTTTGTCTCTGACTGTGTTTTTGTCTCCGTGGTGTCCCTTTGTGTTTATTTCACATCTCATTCTGTTCCTCTGGTCGATCAGATTTTAGCTCTTGTGTCTCTTTGGGCCATTTTTTTGTCTTTATGATCATTTTTAGCTCCATTTTGTTCATTTTCTGTCTCAGATTTTAGCTTTTGTGTCTCTTTTTGCTTCTTGACGTCTCTTTTCTGATCATCTGTCGCTCAGATTTTGTGTCTTTCTGCTCTCGTGTTGGTTGCTGAACATCCTCCAGCTCGTTTTATCGCCACCATTTTGTCATTTCTGTGATTTATTTGGAAAAACTTTGACAAAAACAGACGCCTGAATCTGCAAAAGCAGTAAATGTGGAACAGAAGGAGCCTCGTGAGGCTGTTGTTGTGTTTGTTGGACACCAGATGGCGGCAGAGCGTCAGCAGGTGGCGCTGATTCTGGGTTACTGATGGTTACCCTGCGTGCCGACCAGCACCAGCGGCAGCTCGGCCGTGTTCCTGTAGCTCGCCAGGCGGCTGAAGTAGTGATAGACCGTCTGGAAGCTGATCTCGTCCTCCAGGCTGAAGACGAAGATGACGGCGTCGACCCACAGCGCAAACTGCAGACACACAAACACAACGTTAAAGGAACACAGCAGAGCAGAGCAGAGCTGGACGCCTGGACACCTGGACGCCTGGACGTCCAGACGTCAGGACGTCAGGACACCAGGACGTCCGGACGCCTGGACGCCTGGACGTCAGGACATCAGGACGCCTGGACGTCTGGACGTCCAGGCGTCTGGACGTGTGGACGTCTGACGTCAGACATTTATGTCCACAGAAGATCCTGAGAAAGAAACAAAAGCTCTTCATCAGAAAACAACAACAAACGATTAAACTTCACCAGAAGCTTTTGTCCCATTTTAGTCGTTTTGTGCTCATTTCGTGTCTCTTTGGGTTTTTTAATGACAATATGGATTCAAAAGGTACAGAAACATCCATGTGGACATGACGGGGACAACAACGGGACAAACATGATGGAAAACATCAAAGTGTGAAGAAAAATGATCCAAGTGAAGAAACGTTGCAGTAAAACAGAGACAGCAGCTAAAAGACGTCGCCTCAGGTTGAGAGTTTTCACGTGTTTCAGTCAAACAAACCAGAAAACTCTGGACGATGTCGTTAATTCAGTTTCAAACAGCGAAGAGAAGCTTCTGCAAATGAACCAACAACCTGATTCCTGAGAGACATTTCCCTTCACGAGTCACGTTTTCGTTCTGTCAGAGCTTCGCAGATTCACTTCTATCACCTTTAAGGGTCCGTTTGGACTCAGAGTGACAGCCGACAGACGGCTGAGGGCTCTGAGGCGGTTTGAAGCAGAAGAGGAAACTGAATTATTCATCGGGTCTGAGTCTAGACGTCGGCGGGCGTCGGTCAGTTCTGACCCAGTTTTAACCTGAGACATGAGAAAACACTCCTCACACGGTACCTTCAGCTCACCAACAACGTTTAGCTTTTAACAACTGAGTCATTAAAAACAAAAAGTCAAGAAATTTACATAAAAATGCAGCAATTTTTTTTCATATTTTTACCTAAAATTAATAATTAAATTATTGCTTTTTTTAAAAAATTTTTTTTTACTTCACAAAAAACTGTTGAAATATTTCAATTAAAATCAAGAATCTGCAGCTGAAGTTTTGATGAATAAAAGGCTGAAAGTTTTGCTGAAAATAATTTAGAAATTGATGAAATTTTTTAGCCAAAACTCCGACGAAAAGAACAAAATCAACTCAGGAGTAAGCGGCTGAGATATTTACCTGAAGGTCACAAATAAATCCTAAAACATTTGAGCCACAGTCATGAAAGGAAACGACAGATTTATTTATTTTATTATTATTCATTTTTTTTTAACCTAAAATCTCCTAAAATTCACATTAAATGGGGGAAATTTCAACTTTAAATTCAGGAACAAAGGTCAGAAGCTTTCACATTAAATTGATGAACAGATGAAGTCTTGGACACGTTTCCTCCAGACAGGAATGTTGGGTGTCGTGTCAGTTCCTACCTGGGCCTCCGGGGGGCCTCCTTCGTCTCTGATCAGCAGCAGGTGACTCTGACCGTCCACCACCATCTCCTTCTTAAAGCGGCCGCCTGCACACACAATAATCAATCATCAATAATCACTAATCAGTAATCAGTAATCAGAGGTGGAGGAACTACAAACAGAGAAGCTGAACTTGAACAACGAAGACGAACACGAAGATTAAACACGATTCATTTAAATCGCTTCTCTGAAAAATCAACCGTTTGTTCCAACTGGATTCTGTCAAAAACGAGACGTTTGGACTCTGGTTCTGCTGCCGTGAAGCCGTGAGCGACTCAACTGGACCAGAAGGGATTTGAGCCCCTGAAACCCGCCGGCAGGTCTGAGAAGCGTTTGATGTAAAAAACCACTAAAAGGACGTCGTTCATCGCAGAAAACCAGGACCGTGCTGGATTTGAAGCCTTCAGGAGGTTCTCAGACGGTTCACGTGCAGCCAGAAGAGGACAAAACTGATCTGGGCTTAAATCATCACCATCGCTTTGTCCTTCATGTGTCATTTAAAGTTTGTCCAAAACTTCTGAGCTTCTTCTGTGAAGTCAGGATTTGATCAGGATTCAGAGCTGATCTGTTAGATTGAATCACATCGAACGAAACCGGAGCTTAAAATCACAACGTTTGATTAAATCACTTTAAATGTCGTGTTGAACAGGAAGTGTTTGGATTCTGTAGAACATCCAGAGTTCTGACCGAGCCAGCCGGGACCAGCAGTCAGGCGGCAGAACTCCAGAGTTCTCTCATGACCTGCAGACATAAATCAGAGAGACTCCACTCTGGTCTCGTTGTTCCTGGTTCCGTCGCTGCCAGACGCTTCTGAGTAACGCTTCAGCTTCCGCAGCGCTTCAGAGGGTTGAAGTGGCTTCTGGGGATAAATATAACCGGAGCAGCGGCCGGTCGCTTCCTGAAGCTTTACAGGAAGCCACGGCGGCTAAAAATGGCGTCCGGCAGTTATTTCGGTTCCTCAGCTGATGTCTGCAGCGCTGATGATCGCGAGCAGCGTCAGCGCCGGCGCTCAGCTACGAGACTCACATTTAGACTGTGGAAGGACGGAACCGACCTGAAACCGGCACAAGACCGGACCAGAACCACGGACAACAAAAGGCCAAACGTCAGTCCAAACCCGCCTGAAGCAAGTCCACGACTGACGTCTGAAACCAGCTGATTACCAAAGAAAACCCGTCCACAGTTTAAGCCCCAAACCAAGTCCAATACCTGTCCATGACCGAGTCAAAAACCCGCCCAGAACCAGTCGAAATTCAAGTCCCAAGTCATACCAAACACCAGTCCATTACCAAGGAAGAACCAGTACAACACAAAGTCCAAAACAGGTCCATTACTAGAGTCAGGAACCAGTCAATAACCAAACCACAATCATTTTAAAAAGTACACCAGTCCTAGATTTAAGTCACAAACCAAGTCGAACACCAGTCCATTACCAAGGAAGAACCAGTACAACACAAAGTCCAAACCCAGTCTTAAACCAGTCCAACACCAAGTCGAACACCAGTCCAAAACCAGTGCAGAACAAGCGCTAAACTAGTCTAAAACCAGTGCCCAATAAAAGAACTGCTCAAAAACAAAGTCAAAACCAGTCCAAGACCAAGTAAACAACAGGCCATCCATCCGTCCAAAACAGGTCCATTACTCGAGTCAGGAACCGAGTGTCCGTGTCGAGGTAGAACGACGTCCAGACCAGTCCAGAAACGGCCAAAACCAGTCAAAACCAGTCAAACCAAGTCCCCACATGGTCCACAACCACAATAAATAACTGACTAAACTCAGCCCATAATACTGATGCTACCAGCTGCTGACAGAGGACATGAACAGAACCAGGTCCAGGGTTCAGACTGAGACACCTGGATGCATGTAGAACTGATCTGGTGTCAGGTTCTAGCAGAACCCAGATGTGTTCTTCCTCCTAAATGTCATGTGTCTATCTGCTGTACTGATGAAGCTCTGAGGCTCAGAACTGATGGAAAAAGTCCATTAAGGTGATCAATCTGGACCCTCCTCTCTGGTCAGTAGATAGAGGTACTGCAGAACCAGAACCAGATGTTCTGACCAACACAGACAGACAAACACAACACGGACACAAACATCTACGAGCATGAGTCAGCGCTACCGTCTATCAGCTGTATTGATCAGGGTGAGTCACAGTGTGGTGATGGAGACGTGAGGGGCGGAGCTACAGTCGGAGCGGCCAATCGTGTTCAGCTTCAGGTGTTGGCAGGTCAGTCTTGTTCTCACACTGAAATTTGAGGCTGTTTTTACGTATTAGTGTGAAAACATGGCGGCGGCGGCATCATGATGGGGACGCTTCAGTCAGACGCAAAGTGGCAAAAAAACGAGACAAAAATAAGAAAAAGAGACGTAAAACAAACAAAAAAATCAGAAGCAAAGGAAGACGAAACAAAACCAAGACAAAAAAATAGAAAAACAAAACAATAAAAACGCACAAAACAGAAGAAGTGAGACAAAAAACACACAAAATGACATCAGAGGAGACAAAATAAACAAAAACAAACAAAATACAAGAAAAACGAGAAGCAAAAAAAAAAAGTCACACGGAAAACAAAAGGAGGAAAACCAGAGACAAACAACAACAACAATTAAAACAACAACAACACAAACAGCTCCAGCAGAACGACAGTAAACTACATAATCAATAACGTCTGGTTTGGTCAGAATCAGAAACGTTTCAGGAAACTTTACGGGAACAATGAAGAATTAAGTCCCACAAAAACCAGGATTTAACTATCTGACTTCAGCTGAACCTGAGCTGAACCCGACGGGCCGCAGACAGAATCAATGGATCGGTGATCGATGGATCGGTGATCGATGGATCAGTGATCGATGGATGGAGAATGAAGGTAAAGCAGAGCATAGTTACCTGCATCCACGTCAGCTTTGTACAGAGCAGCCAGAAAGAAGAAGGACGGGAAAGAAAAGCAGAAAAACACGTCAAAGCCTCAGTTAATGCATGCAGGGTTCATCCTCAGCGACCACCAACACATGAAGAAGAAGAAGAAGAAGACGAGGAAGAGGAGGCTGGACCAGTTCGCTTCAACCTCCACCGCCATGTTGGTAGAGCAGACATCAGGCTCCAGCTGATGGGGGTTTAAGACAGGCTTAACACTGGTTTAA